GGGGATAGTCCCAGGAGGGGAAGCCCACAACCTGCGCGTGGGGGTGGCCGGGTTGCCACTCACTGGTGGTTGACCATGGTGATCTGAGTTGTATCTGCAGAGCCAGGTCAGCGGTCTCTGGGCAGCCCACAGCAGGCTGGTGGGCAGGAGCATGTGGTCTTCCTCCAGGCTGCCTGTGAACCCCGTGTGACAAGTACAGGCCTGGGCCTCTGTCATCTCATCTGCCTTCTGCTATGGCCCCTCCCCCATGGCTGTCTCATGCCGCAAGCCTGCCTTTAGAACACTGCACACAGGGACACATAGCATTTATTTGCCATGGGGGTTTGGCTCACACCTTGGGGGTGGGAAACAACTCCCAGCCTTCCAGCTTGCCAATCTTGAACAGGGCGGCCGCAGTACCCATGTAGACACAGCCCATGGCTGCAGTCCCATAGCTGTGAGCTGTGGAGAAGGACAGCATCAGGCATGGGGTGCTCCAGGTGTGACCCAAGAGCCTCCCAGGGAGATGGGATCTGATAGAGCTGGGCTTCTTCAGGATCCTAATAGCCCAGCAACAGTGTGAAGGAGATGGAGAAACTGAGGCCAGGCTGTTCTGCACCTTGTATACTTTAGCTCAAGGGACACTGTGTGGGTAGGGTGGATGTGGTCAGTCCTGACTCCTGACAGTGGGGAGGGAGACTTTCCTACTAAAAACTTTTCCCACTGTTTTTCCACAATTGAACTGAGGGCTGACACAGCTGTCCTGTCCACAGACCCCCAGGACTACAAAGAGTGAGAGAAAGGCAGTTGGGGTTCAGTCTGTCTGGGTCAGAGTCGGGATGTGGGTCACATGGTGACCGACATGGCCCCTGGAACATTAGTTACCACAATTAGTCCCAAATTAGTTCACATCAATGGTGAAGGGATAGGCAGGGATGCCCACTGAAGGACACAGGCCTCTTTTCATCATGTGTGACAGGGATGCTGGGGCAAGACAGAGCGTGGCAGGCTGGAGCAACTGGCATGGGGCCAATGGCAGTGCTGAGTGCTGTGGGCACTTGGAGCACTTGTGAATATCACAGAGCTGCCTGCTGTCAAGAAGGTAATGACTGCCTTCAGCAGGAATGGCACAGGGAGGGAGGGGCTGGAGTGACCAGTGGTTACACACTGTCCCAAGAGATGGCCACTCACTGCGTGCTCCCAATGTCAGGCCTCCCACGCAGCCTCCAATGAAGTAGTTCAGGGGGTCATCTGGCTTCTCTCGGACCTGGGCACTGACACAGGTGGTGAGGCCAAACATCGCTCCAACAGCAGCTGGAAGAAGCAATGGGGGTTGGAGGTGGGAAAACAGAGGCAGTGTCAAGTTAGCACCTGATTGTCCTATGCAGATAAAGCTGGGTGCCACCACCCTCTGCCCTTCTGAGCCCCTGGGCAGTCTTGTAGTCAGTCTCAGTGCTTCCGGTCACCTCTGAATGGCCTCTATCACTGTCTGCAGGACAGTAGCTCACCTGCAGTGAATGTGAACCGGCCAACTCTGGCCACTGCTTCCAGGGGGGAATCTGCAGGGTTGTGTGTGATGCTGTAAGCGGAGCCTATTATGCCTGTAGGAGGGAGAGAGGGGAGAGGTTGCTGGGATGCCTTTCCAGGATACAGCAGGATGGGAACCCAGGGCCACGGCTGCCAGGCCAGAGCTTAGGGCCAGCTCTCGCCTTTCCCAATAGCTGGGTTGATGACGGTTCACAACACTTGACCCAGACTTCCTGTCATCAATATGCAGCTGCCACACTGCCTCCTCTGGTCTCATCAAAGGCCATATTTTCCAAGGGTCTGGGACCTCGGCCTAATCCAACTTGGCAGCAACTGGGCTCAGGATGCCAATCCTTCCACGTGCCGGCAGCTTGGCCCAGACGTGTCCCTACATCTGGCTGGCTCCATTCCTCCTACGCCCATCCCACTGCCACGCCAGTCAGCTTTTCCATCTCCTCCACTCCGTTTGACACTGTATTTTACACCATAGTTTACACAACAAGTTAAGGCCACAGTGGGTGCTGAGCCAGGAGCCCAGGACTTGGTGGGCTCCAGGGCAGGCACCACATCAGGCCAGACCAAGCACAACAGCTCCCCGCCATCGTGTAGCTCTCTGGGGCAGCTGACATGGGGTGCTACAGGGGCAATAAGGCCCACACTACCCTTCATCCTCCAGGCTGGATGAATTCTGCTGTTATTCCCTTTCCCAGGAGGTGAAGCGGCCCACAAAAGCAGAGCCACTACCCTGAGATGGCCCAGCATAGCTGGTCATAATAGGCAGTGGGTCTGGCCCCTCAACCCTTCTCCAGCCTCAGGGGATGTCACACACACCCTTCCTGGTGAGCTCTGGAATTCTGATCTGAGCGATGAACACTTATAGATCTTGAGTTTCAGTTTCAACACAGACTGAAGATCCTAGTGGGGCCTCAAAGATGAGGCTGGGTGCTGAGCTGGAGGCCTCAAAGGCCTTGCAGCTCCCTTGTTGGGTGGTGGGCTGTGAGAAGCAGATGGGCACCTGTTTGAGCATAAACTTCGAACCCCAGACCCTTATGGGATGGAAGGCGTTCAGCGTTGCTCCTGATGCCTGGCTCTTTTCACTCAGTCTCAGCCCCCCCCCAGCCCCTCCCACAGAGAGGTCTATGGCCATCAGTCACGAAGGAATAGTGCCTCAGGCTCTCCCATATGTAGATGCAGCATCCCCAAGCTCTCCGACCAAGCCAATAGGGGATATCTGCTACCAGACCTTAACCCACCCAAAACTGTATATATTGAGCGAACTCAGGAGAAGTAAAGTGTGTGCGAGAATCATCCTGTTATCCAAGAGTTTCTGTTGCAAGAGCTGTGACACTTGGGAAGACATCTGCTTTCCCTGGGCGCCTTCTGGACCATCCCCTAGCTAGTTGGCACCTCAGTGGCTCAGCAAGAGCTTTAACACCAGAGCTATAACACTTCAGAAGAGGTTTGCTCTCCTGAAACGCCTTCAGAATTCTCCCCTCCCCACTGCCTGGACCAGCTTGGCGCCAAGAGACGAGTGCAGCATCTGGGAGCAACCGGGCAGCAACAGGCAACATCGGAAACAGGGTCAGAGGCAGCACTCTCTCCCCTTGGCCCAGACCTTCTGCACTGGTCACACCAGAGATCATCGTGGGACACCCTCCAGCAGGGACCCACACTCCCTCCCAACCCCAACCATCCCTCTGCCTCAACATCAGTGTGGCTTCTGTGTACACAGGGTGTGAGAATGGGTTGCTGAGATGTCTTTCCCAGATCCAGCAGGACTTGATCACAGGGCCACTGGGAATCTTGATTGGGACTGGTAAGGCCACAGGGACCCTGGGTGACTTAGGTGACCACAACTAACAAGCCAGGGGTCATGGGACCCAGACTGACTGCCCTCTACCTTCTAATTGCTCCCCTGTGATGATTCTCCCATGGCCCAGTAAAAACACAGCCAAGCCTCAGCACCACCTGCAGCATGGGGCCCTCCAGGAGCAGCTGACCCATGAGCCATCCACTCCTATCAGAGTGCTGTGCTGGCAGGGCAGGAATTCATTCATTCACTCACTGTGTGCCACAAGCCACGTTCATTCACTCATCCATCCTTCCACTGAGGGCCACAAAGACCTCACTCACTCATTCAATCGTGAGGTGGTGCACCATGCCTCCAAGTTGCTGGATCCTGCTGGGAAGGCAGGGTCACTGCCTTCCTGCAATGTCCCCCTTAGGGGAGCCGAGCTGGGAGCTTGGGGACAAAGGAGGTAGGATTCAGGGAAGAGTTTTCAAACTAGACATAACTGTCCTCTTCCCTCAGCAGCTCCAACATGGCACCTCTGGCAAGGGCCCGCTTACTCCCAACGTCTACCAAAGACAGACTCCAGCCTGACCCCAACGCTGCACACACCCATCCTCTCAATCAACACCCATGTTCTCTTGCCTCGTTTTGTTTGTTTGTTTGTTTGTTTGTTTGAGACAGGGTTTCTCTGTGTAGCCCTGGCTGTCTGGACTTTGCTCTGTAGACCAGGCTGGCCTCACTCAGAGATCTGTCTGCCTTGCAACCCGAGTGCTGGGATCAAAGGCATGTACCACCACGACCAGACTTGTTCTGTCCATTTTAAAATCCCCCAATCACCTGACCCTACAGCACTTGCTTTGGGTAGACTCATGAATGTGAGGTCCGTGGACATGCTGAAAATGCATGACTGAATACCCTTGGGGGATAGCATTAAGTCAGTAAATGAACTAGGGGTGAAGGGGCACCTTAAGAGTCCCAAATGACGAAGGTAACCCCATGGTTATCTTCCAAACAAGTGTGTACTATTTGGAATCTTCCAGAATTAGGTGCTCATGGAGTTCCAAGCCAGCCTGGGTTACACAGGGAGTAAATAGTGCTGGAGAGATGGCTCGAACTCAGTCCTGGAGAAATGGAAGAGCTCTTCCAGATGACCTGGGTTCAATTCCCAGCACCCACACGGGCAGCTCACAACTCTCTGTAGCTCCAATTCCAGAGGATCAGACACACAAGACATACAGGCAAAACACCAATGAGTGTAAAACAAAACTAAATCATTTTAGGGCAGCTGAGGCAGGTACATATAGAGTTTGAAGGACTTGTCTTCAAAAACTCCAATGACGTTTAAAATGACCTTCACATTTTCTCCAGCTTTTGCTCGCTGATATTGATCTACGACCTTTAAAGCCTCTAGGGGCTGACGGGTCTACGCCCCTCAAAAGTCTCAAGCTCCTACACCTTTACCGCCATCCGCCCCGGCGCCCCGGGACCTCCGCGTGCCCTCTGACTTTTGTTCCCTGCCTCCGCCCTCGGGCCCGCGCTCACCGCAAAGGCCGCCCAAGGCCGTGGTGATGTAGGTCTTGCGATGACACTGGGTGCCGTCGGGGACCTCATCGTAGGCTTCGAAGAACCGCTTCGCCATGGCTGTGCCTACCCCGCTCACTCTGCGGACCCTAATGCGTCTGGGTGAGCTGAAGGGGAACCGGCTAGGCTAACTCTCGCGAGGTTTTCAGCGCGCAACTTTATCGAGCGCCGCGGACGTAGACATGGCGCGTGCGCGTGCGCACGGCGCAGGTTTGTACGGAGGTCTTATTTCACGTAGCAAAAACCGTTGTGCTCAGTCCATAAATTACTCTGGACGGACACCCGTGACGTCATTCCTGGGAAGGTGAACTGAAGGTATGATGAAAAACGCCTCCAGCCCTAGCGAAGACCAGGTTCCTAGTACAGAGAATGTTGATAGTCCATCCAAGGGACTGACAGGTTGACAGACCACTGCAGTACCGCGGTTACACTGTCAGGCGGGGTCAGTGCTCGAAATTGACAGGCGGTAGGACAATCGCTGTGCAGATATTACAGCGCGAGGCGGAACTCCACCTAGTTAGCGGGAGCTGCAGTGATGTGGCGGGACATAGCGCAAAAGCGGCTGGGTACTCAGAGATCCAGACTGTGTAGGGGTGTGGTTACGTGCGCATCTGAATTCAGGACCGCGTGTAACTATTTGGGGGCGTGGCCAGACGGGGGGGGGGCCCGGGGGGCCAATCGTAGCGTGGGGATTATAATTGACAGAGACCAGGCCCATTCTGCGCTGGTCTAAGTCTTCTCCGCACTCGGAGGCGTAGCCAGACTCAGGAGCTAGTCCTGCAAGGGACCTAAGCATTGGCTACGGGGCGTGGCCACCCTTAAGCCTGCCCCTAGTAGAAACGTGGCCAATAGTGAGAACCCAAGAGGAAGCACGCGCCTTCCCCCGGGGACGAGTCTCTCTGACGTTACTTCGGAGTAGGCGGGGCCTCTTGAGAAGGTTTAAATTAATGCAGCGGCAGCCGGGGAGCAGAGCATCAGGAATCGGGTCCGGGGGCGGGGCTTTCTGCGTTGTGGGCGGGACCTAGCAGGGTGGGGTGGAGCCTGCACGGCGGCCCGGGGCCATGTCTGCGCCGCCACCTCTGCAGATCCGGGAGGCGAACGCTCACCTGGCGGCCGTGCACCCGCGTGCCGCGGAGCTAGAGAGGCGGCTGCTGGCGGCAGAGCGCACGATGAGTGTGCAGGCCGAGCGCCTGGCCTGCCAGGACCAGCAGCTGCGTGTGGCCCTGGACGAGCTGGGTCGCGCAAAGGACCGGTGAGGCCCCGGAGGAGGCCTGGCGGACATCCTGAAGGAGGCGGGTGGAAAGGGTTGAGAACCAGAGCAAAAATCTCCGGAGCACTAAGTGCCCGGCATCACAGCACTGGGGAAGCTGAGATTGGAGGATCAGGAGTTCGGGACATCCTCGACTACACGGGGAGTTAAGAGTATAGCCTGGGTTACATGAGAGCGCTGTTAAAAAGAAGCCAGCTGTTCCACAAGGCAGAGTCTGCTGGTACTGCTTCCCCGGGGGGTGCAAGAGTATTGTGTCTGATGATCGAAGGAGGCTGCTGGATAGGGGGCCACATCGGTAGACAAAGGCACAGAGCACCCCAATATAGAATAGATCTGTGACAACCATTTGTGACCACGAGGAAGGACAGACAAAACTGGCATTGTCTTGTTTTTGAGAGAAGGCTGGCCTTGAAGGCACTATGTAGCTTTCAACTCCTCATCCTTATGCCTCCATCTCTGAAGTGCTGGGATGACAGAGGCCAGGCCTACTGTGAGACTGAGGGTGTTTTACGAATGTCATCAATGACTCTCTGTGTAAAGACACTCACTTACCACTAAGAATGACGAAGAATTTGATCCCATGGGGTAGAAGGAGCGAACCAACTCTTGCAAATTGTACCGTGACTTCCATGTTTGTTGTAGCATGTGTGCCCATATGCATATACAAGCACACAGAGAAGCAGAGAGAGAGGAGACATGGGGAGCCTCGGAGGATTCCAGAGCAGGTAGATATACCCCCAACCCTACCCCTGTAGGTAACTACCTTATTTGGTTCTTTCACCAGGGAGATTTCTGCCCTCCAAGAGCAGCTGCTGAGCTCGGAGGCCACAGTTCGAAGCCTGCAGGCTGCAGTGGACCAGAGGGACCAGATGATCCGGCAGCTACAGCCTCGGGCTGACCTGTTGCAGGACATCACTCGCCAGCGACCACCCCTAGCCGCACTGCTGGCCACCCTGGATCAGGCAGAGGAACTGGGCCCCTTGCCAACCAGCCACAGCCATGGGGCCCATCTACTTCCTGATGGGCCTGGCCCACCCCTGGGCAACAACATGGGGGAGGAGGAGGGCCAGGACGACCAGCAGTCTGCTGTGTTTGGGACCACAGTGTGAGCTGCCTGGACAGATCTCAGAATGTGTGGCCAAGGCCCCTTGGTGATTCCACTCTTAAAGTCCTGGACATCACCAGTGTCCTAGAGGGGTCTTGAGACATTACCAGGATCCTAGCTAAACATCAAAACAAGGGAAAAGTCAAGATCTCATTGAAAAAACAATTTTTCCCCCACTGCTGGAGTGTCTGCTACATTCCACTGATTTTAAATCTAAAACAAACGAAGGCAAGGGTGGTAGCTCAGTGGGTGGAACATTCTCCACCATGCGTGCCCAAAGCTGGACATCCCAGCATCAGTGAGATGATGGGGACTGACCCCTCATCTCCAGGTCTGACTCTGAAGTCGTGGTGTTTCCTGTTTGGTGCTTCCTGTCTCAGGAGTGTGGCATGGATCTCTGCTAAGTTGACAGGCTCTCACCACAGGTCCTACCTGTGGGGAGTTTCTTTGCTTGAGATGGGGTCTCTCTCTCCATAACCCAGGCTTCCCTGAATCCTTCCAAGTACTTTGAATATAAATGTGAGCCACCATGCCCTGCCGCTGGGAGTCTTCCATCCCTTTCAGTTCACTCTTGTGCCTCCTGAACCATTCTTCATCTCAAGTGGAATCTCCTCTTTGTTTTATGTTCTGTTGCTTCTGTGTAAGAAGACAAATCATTAACTTTGGCTCTCTTTCCCATAGCTCTACCCTTCCTACTAGGAAGAACAGGTGGGTTGAGACACCACAACCAAGAGTGCCTCAGCCTTTGCGCTGTCTGTTCCCTCTCCCTCAATGTCTTTCCCTGGTTCCACACTTGGTTCCTTGACACTCAGGTCTCTCTCAAATGCCCCCTTCTGGAGAGGCCTTCCCACTGGCATCTCTGAAGTAAGTCCTGCCAGCTGGTCACTGCCTTGTACTGTGTTTGGCTTTGTTGAAGCTTAGTCTTGTGCAGCCTGTGCTGACCTCTAAACCTTATAGCTTAGGCTGGCTTTGAACTTTCGATCCTCCTGCTTCAGCATCTCCAGTATGACAGGCTTGTACAACCACCCACAGGCCCATCCTGGGACCACCTTTCCAGTGGGAAGGCAGTGGCTGTGAAGCAGGGAATTGTGTCTTCTGTCTCCATCAGTGCCTAGCATAGCCCGGGAGGCCTTAGCCAGGAGCCTCCTAGAAAGCTGATAAGCCCTTTCCTGGTTCCTAGGGACAACAGTGTTTTTGTAGCAAGTCTCTTTTCGGTACCCTAAGAGAATCTATTTTTTAAGTCCTGGTTTCTATGCTGTCTAGGGCCTAGATCACGGTGAGGGTACATTGCCTTTGAAGGGTCCCCACAAACCCTTGCATCTAGAGGTGGTGTCTGTTGAGTTTTGTCCTGTGCTCAGGGAAATTGTCCTTAAGCAGCCACCAAGATAGAAGGTAGTGGCTGTCCCAATCAGAAGGGCTTCCAGCCATCCAGTCTGCCCAGAGTCTCAGCATGGGAGACAAGCTCACTTTTTCTTGGGGATGGAGAACGGAGCTATTTGTATAGGAGAAGGCAGGCTAGTAGGGCCTGTCTGCACCAGAATAAACCGGATGTTTCTCAGCCTGGACTCTACCTCTTTTACCTATCGGGTAGCATGCTGCTAGGCCTCGTATACACTTTACAGCGGAGGGGGCTGGAGCTAGCCACCCTGTAGCCTCCATGTTTAAGTTATACCCAGAGACAATTGAAACTCAGCCCAAAGAAGTGAAGGGAAAACTACTTCTCTGCATACAAGCCCAACCAAGGCTACTTCCAATTCAGGGGACAAGGAAAATATTGAAAATCATACTACCCAGGCTTCCCAGTCCCTTGCTAGGGGATTGTAGGCGGGCTCCACCCCTGACCATGGCCCCAGCCCCTCACTGGGGTATCTTAGGTGGGGGCTGTAATGCTAAGATATCCCTAGCCTTGCGTTTTATTGTTAAGACTTGGAATAGCTTGGGCTGTAGCTTAGAGGCTGAACTAGCTTGCCAAGGGTTGAGACCCTGGTTTCTACTTCAGCACTGTGAAAGGGTTCACTGCAGCAACTGTAAGAGTAATTATATTTTACATTACTCTATAGAAAAGCAACCTTGGGTGTGGCTTAGTGACATTCGCCTGGCATGCTAAGGCTCGGGGTACCATTGCCAGCACCAACATCTGAAAACGAGCCATCGTCTGCTACTCCCCACATTTAGAGCATAACAGACCATCATCTATTTGGGTAGCAAATGTCACTTGAGTTTCTCATTAACTGAATCATGACACTGGTTGGCCTGCAAACCCATGGATAATTTTTCTTTTGACATTGAAAGTTTCACATAGCTTGGAACTCTTGTCCCTCCATCTCTCGAGTGCTCAGATTATAGCCATATGCCACCAGGCCCCAGTTTTTAGATTTTTGGCTAGGCTGACCCATGTAGTCCAAAGTGGGACAGTGTGGGCTGAGTGGCACTGGAAACAAGGCTTTTTCTCCAGCCAAACCTGAAAGTACTGTGGCCAGAGGCATGGACAGTGGGTCTGGGAGTCACTTCACCCAGCCCTTCTTGGCTGGCTAATGTGCTTGACATGGTTTACAGCCAGGTCCCTCCCAGTCCCCAGAGCCATGCTGCCTAGCAACAGCTGTGCCAAACAGGACGCGCAGACCTCCGTGGAGCTCCACCGCAGGATTCAGGGGTACAGACAGGCCAGGTGAGTGGTATGGGGAGCTATGCTTGGGTTGTGCAGCGTCACCAGGCTCTGTACCAGGGTGGCTGGGTGCAGAAACTCATTGGGAGTTCTGTCCCACTACAGCTGTTCACTTGTACCCATAATGGATGCTGTGAACGCCATCATGGAGAGGTTGAGGACCCAGTGTCTGTCCCAAGGGGCCTTGGGTATCCAGGGAGTGGCCAGGTGAGCCTTCACCCCCAAGCAACCCCAGCGGATTCTGGCCTGGGTAGTCCCCATCAATCTAACCCCCTCTTGATTCCCAGGTTTTTCCGTCGCCTGGACAAGGATGGCAGCCGGTCCCTGGACGCAGGGGAGCTGAGGCGGGGCCTGGCACAGCTGGGGCTGGAGGTGGACGAGGCAGAGGCATTATGTAGGTGCTGGGACTGTGATGGCAGTGGGACCCTGGACCTGGAGGAGTTCCTACGGGCACTGCGGGTAAGGCTGGCCTCAGTGCCTGAAGGGCTGGTGAGGGGTGCTGACCCCAGCACTCCTCAGTCACTTGTCCCCCTCCTTTAGCCACCCCTGTCCCCGACTCGGGAAGCTGTCATTGCAGCTGCCTTCGCCAAGCTGGACCAGACTGGGGATGGTGTGGTGACCATAGATGACCTGAGAGGGGTGTACAGTGGTCGGGCTCACCCCAAGGTGTGCAGTGGAGAGTGGACAGAGGATGAGGCCCTCCAACAATTCCTCGACAACTTTGATACCTTTGAGAAGGATGGGCAGGTCTGTGTCTACCTGGTGCTTCCCTGCAGGACAGTGTCCTTGGCCTGGGTCCCTCCCCCTCACAGCCTGCCCATCCACAGGTCACACTAGCTGAGTTCCAAGACTACTACAGCGGACTCAGCGCCTCAGTGGATACAGACCCAGAGTTTGTGGCTATTGTGAGCAGTGCCTGGCGCCTGACATAGTTTACCTCACCTGCCTAACAGCTGCACTTAGCCTAGTCTCTTGATCCGCCTGCCACCCTCTGCCACTACTGTCCCAGGGGGCCCCAACTAGACACAGGGAGGGGGGATGTGTGAGAATGGAGGTTGAAGAACCGGCTGGACCAGGTCTCTTGCAGGGCCACCCACAGGCCTGGCAATGGCTGGATTGATTATTGACCCCATCAGGGGCCCCCATGGCCAAATCCAGCCTGACTGGCTGCCAGGTGCAAAAGAGTCTAGGGCTTTAGTTAAAAGTTTTAATGCAGTTCTCAAATACGTTTCATATGACAATCTTACATAAATGTTCCAAAACACATGGGTGATGTCTGGATTCACTTGTCACTGGCTGGCTAAGGCTGGAAGCAGTGTGACTCATCTGCTAGGCAGCCTCTGGTGTCCTTGCTGGCTCCCCGGAAGTGGCCTGGCCAGAGGTGGAACCACACAGTCCATGGGTGGGGGCTTCATCTTCTGCCCGGGGACAGGCCCTTTGCAGGTTTTACCTCTCGGGGGCCCTAGATGGTCAGTCACCTCAGGGCTGTGCTACGCTGGGTACCTGTTAAGTGGACTCAGGTGGTTCAGGTAGGCAGGCAAGAGGGCAGGAACCCTCCTGGTTCCATCACCTTCGTCCAGACAGGTGTTCTTAGGCCCAAACCTAGGGAACCCCTGTGGGAGCTAGGCACCACCCATAGGAGCATTAAGTCAGCTCAGCCCATGTGTAGCTTCCTCTGTGACCTCAAGAGCCAAGCCACCAGAAATGAATAAGAGGCATCTGCCATGTGGACCTGGCAGAGTGGAAAGCCGAGCAGGTAGCAGGTTACTCAACAGAATGCTGAGCCCAGAGTTCTCATTGTTGCTGCCCAGGGAGGGATGGTCACCACGAAGCTGTGACAAGTGTCAATGTGCCATTTCGATCGGAAGAGGGTGGGGAACGTTCTTTCTGCTCATCAATATGATGAGGTCTGAGTCCCAAGCCGCATCCTGGCGTCCCCATCTGCTGCAGAGGGGACACTTGGATCCAGCCTGTGGCCACCCCGGCAATAGACACCACCATGATGCGGCCTGCAGGGAGGGACGGGCAGCAGACAGACGACAAAGCAGCAGCCTAGTGCAGTGGCTCCGCTGCTATGTGCTCCCAGGAGCCTGGCCATCTTCTTCATCACCTGTGCCTATAGGGAGAGCAGGTCTCTGAGTCCCGGCACACAGTCACCGAGAGCAGCTGGGGCCCCTCCCACCAGTCCCATGGTGCTCACCGGCCCCGGTGACACCCGAGGGAGCCAGTACAGCATCCTCATCACTGTCTTCCTCCTCGGTGGCCCGGGTGGCTCCTGGCTCAGGTGGGGGCACCTTGGCCTCCTGTTCCTGTTCGGCCCGGCTACGCAGAGCCAGGATGCGGTGGTGCAATGCAGCATACAGTTGGCCTGTGTCTTTGGAGCTGGCCTGCGGAGGCAGGGTGTGAAGTGGCAGTGTGTGGCTAGCAGCCACACTGGGCAGTGTCCACACATTTAGACCCTGGCCTGTCACTAAGCCACAGTGGCCTGGTCAGCTGACTTCTCTGACAAGATACTACCAACAAGATACCCTTTGGAGAATTAGGTAGGACAACAAGGTCTGGGGTCTGTTACCCCTCCACACATGATGTCTAATTAGAGAGGACAGCAGGGTGTGTGCACACCTCTCAGGAACTACCCAGGGGAGGTTTGTGTCCTGGCCTGCCCACTGAAGACATCAGCAGTCTTCAGTGCTGAGCCAGTGTGCCACCCCCACCTTCCCTCAAGCTCACCGAGATCAGGAAAACCTTGACACCCTGGTCCTCGGCATCTGTGGCTGTGATGCGGATGCTCTTTTCACTGGCCTTATCCATCTGCATCTGTGCCCACAGCTTCGTGTTCAGGATGAGCCGCAGGCTGCCCTGGGTCCGCATCACTGCAGCAAGGGAGCTGCTTAGCGACACCTGCCCCAACCTGCAGCCCACGTCTGCAAGGGGCAGGGGAGACATGCCCTTGGGGAAGAGGCTAGCCTGCAACAGGGCAGGTAGGGTACACTGAGATGGAGACTGCTCCATCCCTCCTGAGGACCAAGCCTGGGCCTATCACATGCATGAGGCAAGTCCTAACCTACCCCTGGCTTGCCATCTGCTATGGGTAGGAAAACCACAACTACTCTGTCCACAGACAAGAGGCCACACAGTAACTGCTAAGCAAGTACTGTTGACATTTAACTTTTTCTTTTTTTCTTTTTCTTTTACTTTTCTTTACTGAGGTGGGGTCTCAGTAGCCTGGGCTGGCCTTAAACTCATATCAGTCCTCCTGCCTCAGCTTCCCAACTTCTGGGCTTAACTTTTAAGGGGAATGTAACCAAATGGGAAGGACGCAGCAGGCTCATAGTGGACCAGGACAGCCTGGGCTACAAGAGACCATTTTCACATGCAGTCCTCCAAACAGGAGAGACAGCTCTGAAACCCAGGCTGACAGTCTTCCTACTCCAGCTTCCTTCCAAGCTGTATTTTTTGTTTGTTTGTTTTTCAAGACAGGGTTTCTCTGAGTAGCCCTGGCTGTTCTGGAACTCACTCTGTAGACCAGGCTAACCTCGAACTCTCAAACTCAGAAATCCGCCTGCCTCTGCCTCCCAAGTGCTGGGATTAAAGGCGTGCGCCACCACCGCCTGGTGCAAGCTGTACTTTTTAAAAACCCACTAAAGACACTTGAGCAGGAAACCAGTGTGGAGGGCAGCAGGCCCAGGCCAGAGTGAGCAGGTGTGGGGCTCACCGCTACCTTTGGTCACAGCCATGTCCCTGCTCCAGCTGTGGAGCCTACACTTCTGGCTTTGGTTGTGACCCAAGCCCACCTCTGGGAGGGTCTGTCCTTCCCCAGAGCTCACCTAGCCGGGACTGTAACGTGCCATCATCGGTTGACGCCATGTCATTGAGCCTGAGAAGTCCCCGTCCACGCTCCACCCATGACTGTGAGGTCTTGTCGAACACAAACAGCTTACACTGGATCTGTAACACATGGGGTCAGTGACTAGGTTGGGGGTACCCATGCCCTCTGCACCCCACAAAGCATAGGTCCCACTTCAAGCTCAGAGTTAGCAGTGAGGCCGGTGTGTCTGACTACCCCACCTGCATACTAGGTCCACAGACTAAGGCCAGGACACCGAGGACAGTGGCCAGCTTTGTTGCTCTCGCACAGACTAAGGCCAGGACACCGAGGACAGTGGCCAGCTTTGTTGCTCTCGCACAGTCATCTATCGTATGGTTTTAGTTTCTGTGGTGCTGGGAATGGAACCCAGGGCTCCTGCACACTAGGCTCTACCTGGAGCCATTCACCCAGCCCAAGTATGTAAACAAGGGTGACTCTGGAAATACAAATCAGAAATACAAATCTCTCACAGAGAGATGCCACCAAGTTCCCAGAGCAAAGGAGTACTGCGTGCTGTAAAGAAATGCTCAGCTGTAGGGAACATACTACAGTGCTGGGAAGCTAATAGCCTTGCAGTCCCTCCCACTGCCCACCCAGCAAGCAAGCACACGTGTCACACTGCTTACAAGAATCTGAAAGCAGACAAGAGGCCAAGTCTCAGCTCACCGACACCAGGCATTCCCTTTAGAGTATTACTCAGCTAGGAACAGAAACCATGCTCACACATGCCTCAGCCAAGACTTAAGGACACTATGCTCAGTGACAATACCGGACATAAACTTCATGGACTACTATTTCCAACACTGGGAAGTTGGCTATAATGAAGACTTGTAGGTACTGGAGTGCTAGTTTATTGAGGCAGGGCCTTATTCAGGGGGTAAGTTGTGACACTGGTTCTGCAATGCACTTTTTTGTTGTTGTTTTGTTTCCTCTAGACAAAAAAGTTCCTCATTGGCCTAGAACTCTGTAGATCAGGCTGGCCTCAAATTCACAGAGATCTGCATACCTTTGTCTCCCAAGTGCTGGGGTTAAAGGTGTCCACCACACCTAGCTTCATTTTATTGTTGAAAACAGGGTCCTGCTATATAGCACAGTCTGGCCTTAATTCCCGGCAGTGCCTCTGCCTTAGTGCCCCGTGTTTGGTCTCACCTGCAGCACATTGCTCTCTGCCTCCTCCCCCGTAATGACCTCCACTTTCTCCAACAAACACGTCCATGCTGTAGCCTTGGTATAGGCAGCAGCTGACTCAGCTAGAGACTCTGCACAGCAGTGGGGAACCAAGAAAAAAGAAAGCACAAATCAGCAGGGCAGGCCTGATCCTCCCAGGGACCTGGGGAGCCCTGTTGTGGTCAGCAGAGCATGGCCACCCACAACCCATAATGGGCACCTCAGGCCAATCTCTAAGGTCTATTACAGCCACGGCTGTCCCTAGCTGGAAATCAGTAGTCTCCCCTGGGGTGCACGCAGGGCTGTTCCTACCTTTCTTGGGGGCGGCCTCCTGGGATGATGACTCAGACCCTGACTGGGCATGTGTAGTCTCCCTGCTGGTGTCTGAATTGGCTTCGTTCAGCTTTGGGGGGCTCTGAGGAAACAAGCGTGCCAGCGCGGAGCTGCTGTGGGTGCTGAGGACAGAGCGAGAGGCCCAGCAGGGATGGCCACTCAGCACTTCCTGGAGGCCTGACTCCTGTGCCCTGCAGGGCCTGTCCTCAACAGCCATTCTATTCCCAGTCAGGCCCAGCCTCTCAAGGCCACAAGAGTGCCACCTGTGTGTAGCAATCTGGGGTAGTTCTGAGAAGCTATACTGTAGCAGACCAACAGGAAGAAGCTTCAGCGTGGCTAAGGGAGCGCACACATGCCTGCTATCCTGGCTGTCTGACTGCAGAAGTGGCAGGCAGAGCTGGCTCCGTGGACAGAGACACAGGGCATCTGACTCAGTGGTGTAGCTTTGAGTGCCACAACTGGCTCAGGCCACAGAAAAGCCTATGTCAGTGGACAATAAAGACAGGAAGGGTGATGTCAGCCCCTGACAGCTCTGTGAGAAAGCCTTTAATGAGTGGAGCTAGTCTTTCTCTCATTCCTGCACCTGAGTGTCCTGTCTGACTGTACAGGAGACGGCATGTCAGCCACATGCTGTGTGGCCAAGTGGGAATAGGCACTAGATCACTGCGCGGGGCTACTCACCAAGACGCGCTCACTCATGTTCTGGCCAAACACAAACTTGGTGGAAGTGTCAGCACTGTGAGTTGAGTTGTCTGTGCTGGAGAGGAGTGGCACCATCAGTGTGGCACGAGGTGCACCACAGAGGCGCATGCAGTACAGGGGACGGACGCCACACACCACAGCATGTCTGCCTCCCTCCCAGTATACTAGCACACAGGCTGGCTCCCCCCAGACCAAA